ACCATAATAAAATTATATTAATTGCTTATGGTTTACATGTTAAAATTCTGTGTAGTCTGTGTTCTCATTACTCGTCTGCAGAGCGAAATCCCTCGAACACAAAGTCATCCCTCTTCATTGTCTCTTTAGTAGGGGAGGAAAGTGAGCCCCAATGTAACAAACAGTGCAAGACAGCAGGACAACGCGAACTTTTCCTAAAATGCCCGAGCACCACCTCGCCAGCTGCCTTTAAGCTATGTGACGGTTTGTTTGTGTGTTGGGCCTTCGTAGGATCGCAGTACTGCTGTTTGCATTAATACCAGGCTGTCTGAAAAACCCAGCGATTCAAGAAAACTGCTTGGAATCCCGGATGTGTTATGCAAATAGGATGAATCCCTCTGCCTCAATCGCTTCATTGTTTTTAGCGACCACAGGCAACAGTCAATCTCTGAACAGCAGACACACTCTTGAAATTGACTCAGACCTTGACAAAATCCTCATTTACACCTAAAATTGTGACGGTAGTCGCTTTTTCTTAGGTCGACAACCTTTATATAATTTATCCAAGCACAAATGTGTTCATAACATGAAATTACTGAATTTCCCGGGAAAATTGCCTTGTAAGCATACACGGTTTAATTACTTATTCAACACGGCTTTAGATCGTAATATTAAATGCTCAAACAAAACATTGCCACTCCTTCAGACAAGTAATTTATGGCTAGAATTACTTTATTTTGTCGAAAGTGTAATCATACCGTCGATCAGTAACGAACAGAATTTGCGGTGCAGCATATTTGCTTTAATACCGTTCCACGTCGAACTCGCTTGTCGAGTCAGTATCCGATCGCTGTCATACGGCTTTAACAAGTAAGTCTGTGCTCCCTCACACGCTGATAAACTCAAATTGTCGTTTATACTTTTGTTTGAAGGACGAGAAGAAAGTGAAGAACCATCCTCACTCCACAATCTCTTCAGTCACACTGAAAAGATTCCTCTTTGTATGTTATGGTCAAGTGCCCTAACAAATCAGCGATTTCACTTCCGATCCTGAAAAGGCTGAAATTTCGCTTTTCTCCAACGATTTTCGGGATTTTACTTTTGCTTTTCGATTGTTTTTTTGCTTTTTTTTTTTTGTCATTTTCCCGCAGTAATAGTGCAAACACTATCTTTTGAGCAAAAGCTGCTTTTTATAGAGTATCCCTTGAGGAAACCGTACAAAATTCTCAAGTCGATCACACAACGACACCGCTTACAATTCAATCAAGACCTTTTAGGCAGGATTTAGTTATGTAAAGAAGTAAACCACGTCTTACCTGTTGCGTGTGTTAAATTCAGTTACTGTTTAGAAAGCAGAAATCGTGCTGCTATATCAAAACACTCTTATCGCGCTGAAAGAAAACCAGGGTATATAGCGATGATCACTAGTATATACTTCATGGTTGGAAGCCATAAGTGCACCGGTGATATATACTCTGTGTAACATAAAGAATTGTGTCTACTAACTAATAGTGGTAGTAACTGGTAGTTATTAGTAGTTACGGGTATAGCTGCTGGTACGGTTACTAGCAGTTACTACAAGTTACTGGTAGTTACTAGTAATTACTAGTTGTTACTTAGCAATTAAATGAATGAGTAGGATATGAAGAATTAAGCAGATCGAGGAGGGTGTTATCCACCGAGGCCAAAATGGCAGATGTTGCCCTCCGAGTTGTCTTTTTGCTGTTTTTGCCAGGTTTTTAGCTATTATTTCGCCTAGTTCCAGCTGTAGTTCTTACTCTTGAAACGAATGAAATGTCTGCCTTTTTTTTTCACAACCAAAACAACTCAACCTCGTCCCCAGGACTTCTCGGTAACGGTGCCTTAACCTGTAGCGGGCTGCATTTTTGACGTCATTTCCTCGTTAAACTCAAAATTTGTCCAAAATTGGTCATCAGTAACTGGTTATGGTAAATTATGCGTGTGCTTTTGACCAATCAGAAATGGGGAAATATTTTGAATGAATAATAATTAACAATCAAAGAACGAGGCTGAGTACGTATCTTATGAAGAATTATGGAGATCGAGGTTGGTGTTATCCGTCGAGGCCGAAGACCGAGGCGGATAACACCCTCCGAGATATCCAAAATTCTTCATATGATAAGAAAGCCGAATTCAATAATTGTTTTATTATTCATTCAAAATAATTCCTAGTTTAAAACATGGCTAAAATATGCTTACCTCCATCGATCCATCGATGTTAAGTTCATCTTCGATAGTGCACGTTTATGGGTTGTTCAGCTGCGCAAATATTCTCTAAATAGCAGGTGTTGCCCTTCGAGTTGTCTTCTTGCTGCGCTTGCCATGTTTTTAGCTATTTTTTCGCCCAGTTCTTACTCTTCAAACGAATGAAATTTCCGCCATTTTTCAAGTCCACTACCAAAACAACTCAACCTTGTCCCCAGGTCTTCTCAGTTAACGGTGTATAAACCTGCAAAAAAGCTGCATTTTTTACGTCATCGGTTCATTAAACGCAAAATTCTTCCAATTTCTTTCATCAGTAGCTGGTTATGGTGAATTATGCGTGTGCTCTTAGTCAATCAGAGTCTGGGAAATATTTTGAATGAATAATAATAGTAGTTAATAGTAGTTACTGGTAGTTACTGGTAGTTACTGGTGGTTACTATTAGGGACTGTGCAATAATTATCAGGAGGGGGGGCTGAAAAACAAGAGGGGGGGAGCATTACATAAAATGGCTGCCAAGATAGGGGGGCTCAAAGTAAAATCACTCATTTGGCGGAGGGGGGGGGCTTAAGTTTTATTCGAAATGTAAATAAAATTAAACGCAATAAAAGATTCTCAATACAGGCATCATGATAGACTGTAACAAATATCAACACGAACAGCTGTTAAACAATTATTGAAAGTATTCTATCAAATGAAAAGCAAATTCACAACTGATCAATTTTAACCCGTCTTCTAATTAATTGAGCTGATCCTATGTAAAGCAAAAATCATGAACTTGTTTTTCAGCTTCCCCCATAAAACAATGGGAATCAAACAGATCTCGTAGACAAGCTTTGTCGGTTTTTGATGTGAATAAAAGTAATGTTTCTTCATCGACTGAATCGATTTGCTGAATTCCATATATATGTGGCTCATAACAAAGTTCAACAGGCTCTCCTCCCAAGGATCTAAATATAATGCAAGCTCTTTTTCGTCTGTTATTTGAAGCGTTCAATCTCCTGTTCTTTGATTTTTTTTCTCTGCTCCTTTCTCTTTCTGGCTTCAGAAGTTTTAGATTTTGAGCCAATGTGGTAAGCACCCCGGTACTTAGCAAATGCTTTGTCTAAATCTTCAATCAAGCGATCAACATCCTTCTCGATACTAGATGTTACATAATAACGTTTGTCATTATTGAAGCTGTGATGGCAGCTCAGTCCAGTTTTGAGTTTACCAGTGTGGTGGGAGGGGGGGTGCGACGTTATTTTTAACATAACAGAGGGGGGCGGTTAGAACTAACTTTTTTTGTTTTGGAGGGGGGGTACTGTCTAAGTTTTTGCTAGATAACTCTAGTTTTTTCAGCCCCTCCCCTCCTGATAGTTATTGCACAGTCCCTTAGTTACTGGTGGTTAATAGTAGTTACTGGTAGTTATTAGTAGTTACTAGTAGTCACTGGTAGTTAATAGTAGTTACCAGTAGTTCAGTAATAGTAGTTACTCAGTGGTAGTTATTTCGTATTTGTATTCATTAATGGATTGTAAACTGTATCAATTTTCGTCCCTTTACGGGAACACCAGTTTCTGCCAATCCTCTGGGTGTCAACACCAGTTAAGGTAACACAGGCTTGAGTTTTGTTTTGTTTTGTTTTTTCTTTTAAAAAATCGTAGTTCTGTTGGTCAAACTAGACGTTGTAAATCTCCTAATTTGTTATCAGCGGAAGAACAGCTTCAGGTAGTCAATCAGAAAATAGCTAAAGAGTTGGATGCCCATAGGCTTGCGGGCCCTTTCGGCACATCACCTTTCCCAGTTTTCAGAGTATCCCGCGTGGGGGTTGTCTCAAAGAAAATTCCAGGAGATTTTCGCATGATCCATGACCTTTCTTATCCAAAAGGGAAATCAGTCAATGATGGTATTTCTCAGGAGCATTCAAGTGTCATTATGCTAATATAGACAAGGCAATTGGAAGAATCAACTAGCCAGGTGTTGCTTCCTATCTGGCAAAACCTGATACATAATTTATTAAAAGTGCATTCAGGATTGAACCAGATAATCCAAGGGCGTAGCCAGCCTATAAACCTGTAGGCCCTGGTCTACAATTTTTTGGTTTGATCACTCTACCGCTGGCAATGAATTATGCTTTGTTGGAGTGAGGTCAGGGCAGGCCTACAACTAGTCGAAAAGCTGGCTACGCCCCTGTAATCCTCAATATTATTATCTTTTTGGTCAAAAATGGAACGATCAATATTATTATATGATAAATGCATGCCTTTTGGATTTGCCTAGCTCTTGATTACGTCAGATGGAGGCTAAGCCTGTAAAAATGCGTCTTCACTTCTTTCATTCAGCGTCATGGTGAACTATAAAGTGGACTATTCATTTGTTAACTCTTTTCTTGTTATTTTTTCATGTTGTTTTTCCTTGTTGTTGCAATTTGTGATCCGTGTTTATCATTCACTGGTTTACGTTGAAGAGTACATTGGTATTGGTATTTACATTTCATTGGTCAAAATGAAATTGTGCTGGGGTGGGGCGTGCCCCTGCTTTGCATGGGCTTTGGCGTTTTCATTGCCCTCACCTTCGCAGGCAATACATGTTTAATGATAGTTTGTATTTGTTTTCATTTGATATTCTGAGATTAATAAACCCGGTTTTGTGTTTAAAGTTCACATAGCCATTTTACTCCATCATGTGTTTTGTATTGCCTTTACGAACAGAGCTCAGCGCATATTTCATTCTGGCTAATTTTGTTCTTGTGCTATTCTGCTGGGGATCGAAATTGAAGTACTACAATTGAACACCGTAATCCTGCTGCTCCAAGTGGTTCAACTCTTACATCATCAATCCTGATGGTAGTGAAGGTCTGACCCCCTCTGTCGTCTATTGTACCATAACAGACAAGAATGGAGTTGGCGTGACAATTGTCAGTCACGATAGTGAAAACAGAATGCTCGTTTATAGATTGTTTTCACAGTGATGTCATCAAATTGTAAAGTCAAGATAGCGAGGTTTTACGAATTCTTATTTAACCTAGGTTGAAGATAAACAAAAAGTAAATCTTTGTACAAGTTTCCATTCCCGTAGCATGTTTCATTTAAAAAAAAAAACAATTTGAACTTCCAAGTTTTCACAGTGCGTGACACCAAAATAGGAATGCTGTCTCGTTGAAAAAAGTCTCTCCTCTTGATTTTCAACAGTATAACCATTTCAAGTATTAGAAGATATGTTTATGCGCACGTATACTAGTTCTCGAGTGAAAAGAAAGAGCTTTTTATAGAAAAAGTGAACTCCAGACGTTTTTGTTGATTTCCGGCGGTCATATTGGTGCACCAAAACGGTGCACCAATATGGCGTCTCCATACAAAGCTCTACAAAGGTGCGTGAAACGTTTCGGCAAATAACTCAGAAACTGTGGGCCACCAAGATCTGAGACTTGGACAAATTTTTCAAAAATCATTCTTTTATAACATTTCATTTTCTTGGCTTCTTCCCCTGGACGGTTTACAATTTATTTTTTTCTTGCCTGACACTGAAAAAAATCTATAGAGCAAAGCAAGCAAGGCTGATTTTACAGTCGGGAACTATATTTCTTTTACCATTATTCCAAAAGCACGGCCTTCTTTTTTCAGGGGTCTTACATACAATGATAAGGTTAAGCTAAGACTTTTTATTTTTAAATAAAGAAAAGCGTGCAATATGATACTATAATAACACTAGTGAAAATTTTAGTAAGAAGAAGTGAACTTTAGCAAACTGACGTTTATATATATTTTCTGTTCTCAAATATTTTTAACGTTCACTTTTTTCTTATTAAAATTTTCACGTGTTATCATAGCATCATATTGCACGCTATTCTTTATTATTTTCAAATTGTAACGTCGTAGCTTAACCTTATCATTGTATATAAGACCCTGAAGACCCTGAAGGCCGTGCCTTTCGAAAAATTGGTAAAAGAAATATATATATTCCCGACTGTAAAATCAATCAGCCTTGCTTCTTTTGTTTTATAACTTTTTCCACTTAAAGCTGATTAGATCATTTATTAGGACCCGGTACTTCTTTTTTCGTAAGTTGGTCATTGCTTTCAAAATTGAGAATGTTGGTGGACGGCTATGAGCCAACTGGAAGTTACGTGCGCAATATGAGCTACCTCTGAAGAAGTATAATGAGTGTTCAACAACTAGCTAAACTGACCGATATATCCGCGCACTGCGAGCACTTTATAAAGTACGAATGTCTAGCTGACTGAATGCTCCTCAGTGGTCCAGGCAGCGTAGGTTATATGCATGGTTGGTGGGTATTACCCCACGACAAGGCGATGATATATTGGGAAAGGGAAAATTCTACTCCTTACAAGTGCGTGTGCGGGTTAAATCGATCATCTTCCGTAGATCCGCGCTATGGATGCAATTCTGACATAAACGATTATGTCTGGCGGGAGGACAGAGAACTGCGTACAAATAAGGCTGGATTTACACTGTTACTAGTGGGTTACATGCGTAGTTGATTTGAAAATTGAGTTTGAGTAAGGCAGGGAATTGAGCCTCGTCTGGGCCAGTCAGGTCACTAATTTTAGCCCGGTCATTAACTGGAATGTACCGTGGTTTACGAGATAGCAATCAAAAAGGATAAAATTCGTTATTGTTATTGTTATATTGTTATTGTTATAACAAAAGGGAGAGGTATACTTAACTAAAAGAAAAAACTACGACTTTTTTCTTATTAATTATTTATTAATTTGCAACACAGTGGTAAAAATACAAAAATTGTAGGTTAAGTAGAAAAAGAGAAGTAGAGAAGAGACCTTATTCAAACTATAAGAAACTTATGAGGGGTTAGGCCTCCATGAACCACGCTCTATAATTGTTTACATCAAGTGAGGCAAAAGATGGTGGAAGGTCTAGGGTGGAGGTGAGTTAAGATCGTTTTTTAACATTTACTTATTAATTTCATCCTTTCAAAAAAATCTTTAAGGAGGAAAGAGATCGAGAGATGATGACTTCGTTGTCAAGTTTAATTATCTATTTTTTTCCTTGAAAAAAAAAAGAAAAAAAATGAAAATTTCCTAAAGTTTGTTCGACAATAGGGTAGACGATGGACCTAGGAGTTTCCAGTATTGTAAGGGTGGAATTGATTTTGGAGAAATTTTTATAAAACCTCTAGGTTAAAATAAATTTTTGCAAGAATACATAAAATGGCCTAGTTGAAGCAAATCGATATGGATACTTAAAAAAGGTCATCCCCTGTCAACGCTGCTCTTCTTGTATCATTCTAGTTAGGAAAACACCTGAATTTAAACCAAATAATAATACTACTATTAATAATACCTATAAAATGAAAACTGAATAAAAACTCTTACCCCTTATCCTTATAAATAAGTAAAATTTTAATTTTCTTCATAAAGATAAATAACACTTACGCGACGTATATGGAGTAGGAGCTCCCTATTAAAATAGATGAAACAAGACGCCGATGACTATAAATTCAAGGATGTAGGCCTCAACACCCCTTCGCTGATGGGATTTTCAGATTTTTTTATTTATTGTACTACTTCAAGAGTGTACTGCAAAAACAAATTACAATATATTACAAAAGTAAAGTAAAACAACATTATTGCATCAATGATCAAAGGTTAAATGTGCGCAGTGACCAAAGGAGCTTAGGCTTTCGAGTTTTCTTGCAACAAATTGGCGTAGTCACATTTAAGTAGCGTATAACGGAGACAGGAAAATTAAAAATGCTTAAAGTCATAGTTACAATTTTATATAAAAAAACAATAGAAATGATAATTGATAGTGAGGGCAAAGAAATCAAATTACTCGATCCATTGGGTATACGTATTTAAAAGGTACAGTTTGCCGAGTCGTATTTCTTGTAGACGTTATTATACGGGAGGTTTTTTTTTAAATTTAGAGGGAATTTTTTCCCAGATTTTAGAACCATCAAAAGCAAAAGTGGCAGCTCCATAATTATTTCTTATCCTTGGCCGATAAAAATTAGGGTTCGATACAAATCTCGTGTTGTAACTATGAACCTCAGAGGCTAGGGTAAGGGTTCCTTTCAATATCGTAGGGACGTTTGTTACGTTGTTAGTAATTTTATGTGTGAAAAGGGCTACATTGAATTTGTAAATGATTGAAGTATGGCACAGCATTGTCCCTGCTATAAGCAAAGAACATGATACGAACACATTTATTCTGTTAAGTTTTAATCTTATGAAACCTGCTGGTCTTACAGGCAACCGTACTGCCCCAGCCTGTAATACCATAAATTATATGTGGATAAATGAAGGAGAAATACAACTGCCGGCCCGTAGGCCCAGGCCTACAAATTCTTCTGCCTGCTTGACTTATTAATATTACTCTTATAAACTCGAAAATTGAACTTTTGTTTGAAATACATGTATGATCGATTTCGGAAGGTATTCGACAACTGCAGAAAAGGGAATTATTGTCATGGAAAACGCACTACAGAGACACTTCTTAGGTATATTGTTCTCCTCAAGAGTTCTACCCAAATTTATCGTGGGCATTTACGGCACTTCTAACTTTGTCAATTATCTGCAGAGATGTCTGTCAGTGAGAGTGCATTGAGAAAACTAAAAACACAAAGATGAAAGAAGATCCCCCAAACGGACTTGCACTACTCATATCCATAATGATCCACAAGGATCATTCGTGAACGTTTGAATGCCGTTGACTTGCTGAATGTTATGCGAAACGGGCATACACGAACTTTAGCGGTTATCCCTTGCACAATGAGCCTTTTAAAGCCAACCACCGCATTGTTGTGGTAGAAACCTGGTCTTTGAGGAAGAACAAGAGCATTTGTTTGCCAAGAAATTGTCTATGGAGCCTACTAACTGAGATGTTTATAAACCATATCTCAGAGACGAAGCGCCAACACTGACCACTATCCAAGCTATCCAAGCATATTACCACCAGAGGACTTACCTTCTATTGTCACGTCGCTACCAATTAACAGGTCGGAAATTCCGCGCAGGTTTAAAGCAACCAAAGAATGGCAAGTGCATAGGAACAGATAAAAATGCATGCCGAACGTCCTAGATATATGAGTTCTGAACGGCTGTATGGACGACTCTGCAAGTGCTTACTATGAGTATCAGGTAACTCCATATATGTAGAATGTGGTCATTTGCTAAAATCTTCGGAGAGGTGATTCAAATTGCTTCCCTATCCAATTATTAGAATTAATGTTCATAACCTTTGTGGACCTAAAAGTTGCACACAATTGAATACTGTACCCCTGGCTGTGTAAAAGAAAAATTCCAGAGAAGCGTATTACCCAGTCTTCTTAGACGCTACCTTTAGGGAACAGGCCTACAGCAAATCGAAAATCTGGCTACGCCCCTGCTTGAAGTATGAAGATCTACATAATATCTTAATTTATCAATGGTGCCTACATTTTTCACTAGCTTGTTGTTTATGTGATGAATCTGGGGTCCCCGGTGTATATTTTGATCAATATATACACCTAGATATTATATTTTACTTTTTCGTTCAATATTACGTATATGTATACTTTCGTTTAATCTCTTGAAGATGAGATTACCATATAGTTTGTCTTAGCAAGATTTATAGATAATTTCAATTCCTCATTCATGACAGTGTTTCAAGATGTTGTAACTTATCACTTGTGTACAACACATTTGTGTCTGCTAAGCAAAAAATTCTAAATGATAGTTTCTTAGAGCAGTTTGGCAAGTCATTAATATAAAGTAAAAATAAGAGTGGACCCAGCGTTTCATAGCTCGATTGAGTATTGTTAATGGTAACAAACTGGGTGCGATCATGTAAGTAGTTTTTAAACCAGTTAAGAGGAGTTCCACGTACTCCATAGTAGTAAAGTTTTGACAACAGAATGTCATAGTTTACAGCATCGAACGCCTTTGAAATTCTAAAAAGAGACAATAGAAGAGACCTTCTGGCAGCGATTAGATCCTATTGCATTGCCGAGTAATAGAGAGGGAACTAGGCAATATGAGTAACTGTAAAAAAAAAAGCAATGTCTAAATGACATACCGCCTCCCCCCTCCCCCCGCCCCCTCTCTCCCTCTAATAGTTATCTACAACTTTTAATAAGCAACTGTGGTGTTTTTTTTTAGCTATTGCTGTGATTATTGAACTGCTTTGTGGTCATTGAACTGATGTGTGTTCATTGATCTGCTGTGTTTTTTCCCTACCCCATAATACTTGAACGAATAAACATAAACAACACCAACACCAAAACGCTGTGACACTGAACTCGTTTAGTGGTCTTTGAACAATTGTGTGTTCTCTGAACTACACTTACTTGAAAAAGAAAATTGAAGCAAATGGATATTGATACTTGAAAAAGGTCATTCTGATACTATGTCAGTAATCTGATGTTAAACTGAGTTCAGTGCTTAGATTGATTGGCCTACCCTGGCTTAGTTCTATAACTAAATAAGTGATGCCAAATGATGCCAATTTATAGAGTGCGTAAAATAAATAGCAGATGAAAATGAAAGAAATCGTATCATTTCTGTTTCGCACACAAAATGAGATTTTAAGGCGTTACGATTTTACTTTCAACTAACCACCTACTGGATCAATTAAATATTGGCACTCACTGAGTTTTGAAATTTCAAAATGGCTGTAATAAAGTGGTAATTGAACTTCGTGTCGTGCAGTTTTGGTCTGAAATCATGCATGTGATTTCAAATCGAACTCTCGATGCGCACTCGTCCGATTTTAAAATCACGCGTCTGATTTCAGACCAAAGTCACTCCACTTACGCATTTCCTTTAATTGCAGGTTTTCACTGTCACGCCATCAAAAATGAAAATAAAACAATTAATTCCAGAATCTGAGAGATGAAGGGAGGTTAATATAGAAAGACCCTCGCCGAGATTTAGGGTCAGTGTGATTTTTCATATGCGAAACATTCCAATAAATTGTTTACCCAAATTAATAGAGCTTCGCTAAGGAAACGCCATGTTGGGGTCCATCCGGATGGGGACCAACATGGCGGCCGGAAACCAACAGAAACACCTGTCACTGAGTTTTGCGATTGAAGCGTGAATTCCTCTCCCAAGGACTGCATAAACATTAAAGAAGTACCTTTCCTAATAAAATGACTGTTTAGAAAGACAAATCCAGCAAAATAAGTCGT